ATACCAGCAGGTAAATGGATAAACAAAATGATACATGTCTACACTGGTACGTTATGCAGCTGTAAAGAGAAATGAGGGAGCTCTGGTGACCTAGTGGTAAGAACCTGCACTGTAATCCTGAATGCATGCAATTCAAATCCGTCAGCTGCTCCACAGGAGAAAGATGGGCAATCTTTTCTTGTGCAATTAATCTGCCTCTGAAAACCCGCTGTAGGATCAACTATGTTCTGACTCAAAACAGTTGACAACAGCAAAAATAAATGAAGTTCTGACACATGTCACAACATAAGTGAACCTGAGAAACATTTATCCTGTTCAAAATAATTCAGTCATGTGGTGTTAGTCTAAAAGTTGGCTTTTTATAGCCATAAGTTAGCCCCTCTGGTCTCCAGCTACCTTATTGCAGACACATGGTCTTGCAAATCATCAACAGCTGAAGCAGCAATATAACAAGAAGTGTTGCTCACTTGAAGCGGCAAGACTTGAGGTGAGCAAGGCTTGTGGCAGCATGACCCTGGTGAGAGCGAGCCCCTGGTGTTGGAGAGGTTGGCATTGCTGTGGAGAAACTGTGGCAAGGTGTGACCTGAGACTACGTGCATTTATGCTGGCCATTGTTGGATCTTTGCTATTCTTGTTTTTGATGATGTAAGGAAAAGCTTGCTAAATTGAAACCGGAGCCTAGGCTGAGGAGTTGTGCCTTGGAGCTGTTGGGCTAAAACCTGGACTTATTTTGGGTGATACTGTGATATTCTTTGTCTCCCCTATTCTACAACTTCCTTGCCTAATAATCCCTGTTGTTGGTACCATAACAGTCTCAGTCAGCAACGAATAAGCAAACAGCAAGATGCTGCTGGTGTGGCTCTACAGGCACCACGGGGCTGGGCTATGGGCTCCTGGTCGGCTTTCTGCTGTGGGACAGTGCACGGCTGTGTTATTTTCACACCCTCTGGCCCTTTTAGAGAGACACTCAAGCCTTTGTGCCCCTGTGTTCCCTACTTAGACAGTCACAAAATGACAAATATGTATCGTGTCATTGATATGAAATAAGCAAATAGAAGCCAATGATTATTAATGATAACCAGAGGTAGGAAAGAGAGTTTATGGTGATGGGGAAAGAGTGTGCAATTTGTGCTAACAGCAATAGAAGGCTTTGAGAAAGCACAGTGGAAATGGTGGCACTATATGAAAAATGTAATCATTATTGCAGAAGTGATACAGGAGAGGAGTCAGGATCAACAACCGAAGGCTGATCCCCTGCAACTGGGGGAGGAAGCTAGTTTCTTTGATCATAAACTAGAAATTGTTTGAAAGTAACATACTACACAGGCAAAGGACTCTTTTTGTATCTAAGAGTAAAGAAATTTTAAAAATGCAACCTTTCAATTGATACTATTTACGATACCTTAAGCTAAAGGAAAACTGATACTCTGATATTTTAAGAAGAGATTTTTCTCTTAGCAGAGTAATTAATAAGCTATTTTATCAAAACTCAAGCCCTTTTGATGTTAGCCTTTCCACCCTTCAATCTATAATTGAGAATTACTCAACACCCAGAGTGCTTTTTGATGCCCTTATATCTCCAAAGTGGGGAGACAGATTTAGGAAACTTATAACCAATGTTCTTTATACATATGTATAAGAAAACAGCATTTCCACTCTAATCCCTATCTGCAAGATTTTTTTTTCCCAGCAGCAGGCAACAGAATCATCATCTCTGGAAATATTCGTGAGGTGGATAGGTCAGATACATCTCTTTCAACCTTTTCACCTATATCACTTATTGTGACACCATCTATCCATCCTTTGGCAGTGCATGGGAGTGGGCAGTTCATTGCAATAGCTATACTAAACTCCCAGGCAATACGCATGATCATAGGGTTCATTTTTTCATTAGGTACCAGCAAGCAAACCAACTAAGGACTCATGTTTTGTTGTGTGCTATTGGAATTGTCCCATAGTTGATCCTCCAGAGGCTGTAAATTGCACAGGAGATTGCTCATCTTCTGCAGAGCACCTAGTGGCCTCGAGCCAAGTGCCATTGGGTTGGCCATGCACCCAATCAATAATAAATCTGAGCTTTGTCCTATCCAGCACCATCCTCACAATCTCTGATTGTTCGAGTCACCGTTTCAGTCTATCTAGTTGAGTGTCTTCCTTTATTTTCCTGGTTCTCTACCTTTCCCAGGACCTTGCCAAAGTCCTGAAGAGTAAAGATGTTAGTTTAAAGACAAATTCAAGCCACAGTCTTGCTATGCATTGGCTAGTTGGACAGTGAATAAGGATGGCAAGAGAAGAGTCAGTGCATTTGAGTTGTGATGTTGGAGAAGAATGCTGAATGTCCCATTGACTGTCAAAAGGACAAACAGATATGTTTTGGAGGAAGTGCAGCCAGAATGTTCCTTGGAGGTAGAGTGGTCTCACATATTTTGGGACATGGATAGGAGAGGCTATTGCTTGGATAAAGATATCATGCTTGGAAAGTTGGAGGGTCAGTGAAGGAGGCTTAATCCTCAACGAGATGGATTGATAGTGTCTGTGACCATGGACTCAAATGTATCAAGGATGATAAGGATGGCACAGGATGGGACAGAGTTCAGATACATTGTTAATAGGGTTGCTTTGAGTCGTACTGGATGACATTTAACCACCTCCACCATCTTTCCCAGAATAATGTTTTTGGTTTTGTTCCCCCCCCCCCAGGATTGGCATATCTTGACATTGACTGCCGTGGAGTCCATTCCTACTCATAGCAGCCCTCCATTGAGTTTCCAAAGCTGTAGATCACAATGGGAGGGGATTGCCCATCTTTCTGCCATGGGCCAGCTGGTGGATTGACTGCCATAGATGAGAGGACTCTGACTTTGTGAGACAACTCTCAATGGATACCACTACCATCGGTATATAGTTTCAGTCAGGACAAGTCAGCCATGCACACAGGCCTCTCTCTGGCTCTACCCCCAAGTTTCTGCCCTGTTTGGGTGTAAAAAAGTACTTTACCTTTGACAAGTACCTAGAGGCATCTCACTCCACCAGGACCTGTCAAGTGTTTCCAGGCAATCTACTGTGCAATCAAGCACAAAAGCACTCTGGTTTCTCACTCCTGGACTGAGGCTCAATGTCAAGAAGACAAAGATTCTCACCACTGGACCAATTGGCAGCGTCAGGATGGATGGCGAAGAGACTGAGAT